AAAAAAAAACACATTTAAACATAAAAAAACCCAGAAATCAGCATAATGACATGCTCACCGCGCGTATAGCAGCTATGGTGTTCTCTGGAGCGTCGTGTCCACCACCGCGGTGCGCCACCGCTGACACGCCGCCCGACGACACTCTAGACCCGGGCCGAAGCAGCTGTCTGACCCGGCTGGAGGGGACCTGGGGGAACCGGAACATCACCATGAAGAGGTAGAGAGAGGCCGTGAGCACCGTGGGCCAGACTGCGCTTCTGCTTCCCAGCAGAACCACGACGAAGACAACAGAGAACAGCGTGAGCTCGTCTCCTAAATGAAGCATGATGAGATAACGAACCTACAAACCACGAGCGCTATTACTGCAACTAATCAGTCGGTGATCAATAAACATGTAGGGTCAGCGGTCAGCTACTCGATCGATGCAAGCGTCGTTGCTTTCAGATGAAATCCGCATCGCGAGCGTTCAGTCTCGAGTCATTCATTGCCACACAACTGTATGTCAGACCTGCTTCTTGCATTGATGAACGTCATAAAAAAATGTATTAATGACATCACGGATGCATTGCGAAAATGCTCGCGCGACCAGTTTGACTGCTGACGACCTCATCACAGTAAACCGCATTAACTGATATTAATGACACCCTAAATGAATGCATCTATACTGCGTGTCGTATCGTGCCAATAACCCGATCAGCCTGCTTGATGAGCTAAGAGCGCAAGATCTCTCAAATAAAATAACTATCCGATGCGATGCATTGGTGGAAAGTTCCTACTATTGAAAATAACAACATAAAAGTATCTGCGTTTAAAGGATTTTTGGTTAAACAATATAAATAAATGCCTAATATAAGTAAATTTCACACACTCACACAAAACAATTAATTTTAGTATTTCGTAAACTATAATTTAAATGTATATAAAACATTTTTACAAGTTTACTAACAACTCGGAGACTTTTATTATGAAGTGTTGAGCTTCACAGAAGCACTGCGCGATGCACTGAACTTGTCTGGAGATGGTAAGTGCGTTCAAAACGGCATACATTGTTAATTTTAGTACATTTTAATAACTTATTTTGGCCATTTGTTTTGTGTGTTTTCTTTGTAATGAATCTGTCTTAGCTGCCTAGAACACGAGTTGCAAATACCTTTTAACTGAGTTCATACAATGATTGTCCTTGAAAGGCAGACATAAAAACCCCGTGTGTAAAGGATTTTGTTTGATATGAGATCAAATTTAGCAAAAAAAAAGTCAAACTAAAAATACAACCATTTATTATTTGATTTAATTGTACAACTGAATTATTTTATTTATTTGTTTGCATTTCAAAAGTATACAAAAGTTATTTTATTGCGAGAACAGCACAAGGACTTTTACTTTGAAGTTTGTTTCACAGACTTTCTGTTCTGTCGCGTTTCACAGAAGCACTGCGCGATGCACTGGACTCGTATGCAGATGGTAAGTGCGTCCATAACTGCATAAATTGTTGATTTTAATACATTGTATTAATCTTTCGTGTATTTTCTTTCATTGTCTAATATTTAGCAGCCTGAAACCCTTTAGCACATATCCTCAATCTGAGTTGCCCTAAGGATTGCCCTTGACAGCCAGTATCTTACTCTACTTGTACCCACAGGATAAACGTGGTATGCGTATTTTTAAGTAAGTGTGCTGTATT